TCAGCACTGGCAGCTAACCATAGAGTAGGAGCAGAGAAACCCAAGTCATGGTCCTACAAAAACACACATGGTACATTTGTTTTGTATGTTATTAAACTGAGTTAATAATTAACACTATAACAATAGTCTCTCAATAATAAGATACAGTGAAATCAACAATTTAAATGTTCACAATCAATATATGTTAAAAATTCTAGCATAGTAAGTGGATGTAGAGAATGTCAATTGAGTGGAATATGAGTACATTACCTGTGTATGTGTCACATTTAAATCAGTAATAGGTGCTCCTTTATGGTCATTAATTACTCTGATTGTCATGCCAGTAGTAGGACTACTTATAGCAATAATACCATCTTTAGCACCAGATAAGATAACATGACCTAAAATTTGAAAACATGTATGAGTTATTATTACTTTCATTAATATGTGATACATTGATAAGAATAGACACATACATGTACTCTAATACATGCATCAAGTATTTTGTGGCCTAGTGAAGCATATGAGAGTACTTGCTCTTAGAAACAGATTCCCAATAAAATCACATTTAAACCAAAAATTGCATTTGGTGTATAATGATTCATTAAAATATTAACATAGAAACACCTCTATAATTTACATACTGCGAATGTGCTTCTAATAGAGCGAATACTGTATTAACAGTTTTCATTTATAGAGACAGTTGTAACACTGCGAACCAAGATGATTGAGTGTGTTTGCTTTTCGACATGATTTTGTTAACCGACTGTTTTGATTTACGTATATCTGTTGAGCGATATGTACTAAAGTTATTACAGCCCAAAGATGGGCATTTGTGTCTTTGTTCAAAGAAAACAATGTCATGTTCTATTTCTTTTAATTGCTGTGAAACTTGTGAACATAAAGTGTTGTCTCTCCTAATGTTGAAAGTAAACATACAATACATTTCACAACATACAACCATATTCCTATCACAACAACATGATGTCATTTTAATTAACTAAACCATACAAGGCAAAGATTGTCGGAAAGATTGAACAGTTTGTTACAATAATGAGGGTTATGACCAGGACATTTTCAATGATACTGAATGTAGTGATAGTAGTGGTTTGATTTGTACATACCATCGGATGAGAAAGTAATGGCAGTAACAGCAACATGATGTGGATGCATCTTTAGAATTGTTTCCACTTTATTCAAATCAAACATTCTAACAGTACCATCACCATAACCAGCAACAATCTTCTGCATAACACTCGTATTAGAGTCGCATGCTACTGACTGATCATTGCTACCACTAAAAGCCAAACAGTTACAACTCTGGAAAACAAAAAGATATACCAATTTAATTATACATTACTTAAACAAAAAACTCGCTGCGATTTTTTTTACTGTTAATACATGACCTGCTGAAAGCTGCCTCCATAGATCGCAGAAATGAATGGAAAAGATGGCGTCAAAAAGTGATGTATTAGGAAATTAACATAGGTAATTTAAATGACCTATGAAATTATTGTCACATGCTGTTCTTGAACTATATATGGAAATACAAGTTTCTTTGACTTTCTTTGACATGTTAATGTTCGATTTCTTTTGTCTCAAGACAACACCATTGATGTTTAAAAGAAGACACCCCCTCCCATCCATTATTATTTGTAAATATTTGTCCTTGCTCAGTTTTCATGCAAAAATTGTTAGAGCATCGACCCTTTATTCCTTAAATATATATATAACAGAGGTATATATGTGGTTGTCGCTCTCTAGTGTTGAGAAAAGTGTTTTTCATGTCTTTTGTTTTGTTTTACACTTGACACCCACACAAAGTCACTGATTGGCTCATATTCAAATTAAGTCTACTGACAGCTATCTGATGTACCTGCATTATGCAGCATCAAAATAGTCCAATGACTTGTTTGTATAGGCCAATTACTGTGTAGCACACACTTTGATATTTTGGGAGAACAAATATGTTTTTTTTTTGGTTACAGATCTGTGCCACTATGTGCAAACATGTGGCTTTGTGGTTTTGAGTGTGCTGAATAATCTCTGATTATTGTTTTATGGTCAAAATGGTTTTAAATCTTGTCTCAAAAGATCCAAATTACCAGTATGTCAGGACTGTTAAGAGATCTGTTAAATATATGAATTTATTGCTCAAATTAACTTTAGGCAACTTGGTCTGTTCATTATGTATATACTGCACTAAAGGGCCACTGTCATACTGATGGAGGGTGAATAAGAATGACCTAGACCTAGACCTAGATTGGTCTGTTCATTATGTATATAGTGCACTAAAGGGCCACTGTCATACTGATGGAGGGTGAATAAGAATGACCTAGACCTAGACCTAGATTGGTCTGTTCATTATGTATATAGTGCACTAAAGGGCCACTGTCATACTGATGGAGGGTGAATAAGAATGACCTAGACCTAGACCTAGATTGGTCTGTTCATTATGTATATAGTGCACTAAAGGGCCACTGTCATACTGATGGAGGGTGAATAAGAATGACCTAGACCTAGACCTAGATTGGTCTGTTCATTATGTATATAGTGCACTAAAGGGCCACTGTCATACTGATGGAGGGTGAATAAGAATGACCTAGATTTCAGTCTGGAGAGACTAATGTTTGGAAATCTGATAGGCTTTTTCATCTATCAGAAGTGATATATAAATATATATTATACGCTCAAAAAGTTGCTGATTGAATTGTATAAAGTACACTACCTGGTCTGATACTTGGAATTGAAGAGTGAGATCCATAGCACCAACAGTCCATACTTTTAAGCTGCCATCACTGGAACAGCTAGCAAAGTGTTGTTCATTCTCACTAAATATTATACCATTAACCTAGTCAGAGTAAGTAGTAGTGTTATACTTCTATCAAGGTATTTTCATAAGCCACAGCATAATTTTGCATCTTACTTCCTAAGGAAATATTACAGCAAGTTTCAGAAGTATTGGAACAGCTAGTAAACTTGCTCATCAATTCACTGACAACTTTGGTTTTGATTAAGCAGATTACCTACAATTCTAATTACTCTATATTTTGCCAACATTAAATGCAAGTAATTTTAAATAGGATTTTAAAATTAGTTTATGAAGTTTTACAGGACTGAAGAGCATGCAAAATAGTTTTTGTTGGTCAAACCTGCTTTATCAAAACCAAAGTGGTTGGCAAATTAGTGGGCAAGTTTTCTAACTCCTAATAATACTTCTAAGACTTGCTGTAAATCAAAAAATCACAAAAGTTATGTCTCCTCTGAGCAGGTATTGATTTCCAGCAATTGTTTGTTACAAACAATAAATAGTTAAGGGCAACACAATGTAATATGCTGATTACTGAATTTCAGCTGCAATTTAAAATTTCATTCCTAACCTCTCACTGACCCCTGTAAGCACTATAAGGGCTTTGAAATGTGTACAGTTTATGAGAAAACTTATCTAACAAAATCGTGAAATCGGATTTAAAGAGAACTCCTAAATAGACTCAGTGAAGTGAAAAGCATATAATTTGGTGTTAGACATTATGACCTTGTCGGTTAGCTTCAATGCTCTAGTAATTCAGAATTTGTTGCCATACCAACTGATTTTATCATTGTTTATGGCGATCACAATAATCAATGGGAAGTGATCTGCATATAATACAAAGTGGGAATTCAATCTTCATGATTTGAAGCAAGTGACATATTTTTACTGATTTATCATACAATATATGTAAACCAGTGGGGGAAAAAAAATTCACAGTCACTGATTTATTTCACTCATTCACATCTTTAGATAAATTAATAACAATTAAAAAGGAATATTTAACAATAACTGTGCTGCTAGATTTCACTGTAAATAAATCACGCTGGCTGACCTGATTCATGTGACTGCTGACCAAGCGTATACATGTTCTTTCAATCCAATTGATGTACCACAGTGTACCAGCAGTAGTTCCAGCTATACCCATATCCATGGTGTCATCAAAACTTGCACACGTAATTGCTCCATCTAACGTCATCTCGTCTTCCATCACTAACCCTTTACCAGGAGTGCTAAAGACAATAATATATTGTCAAAAATGATCAGGAACACCAAAACAAACATTTATTTTTTTCAAGTTAGTGACATGTCTGAATGTTTTAATTTAGATTTAACTACATACAAGCATGGCAAGATCAAAACTGACACCATATACAACACAATTTTGAAAGAAGATATCCTGCTGTCATTTTCCACCCATTTCATTTTGAGAGTATTGGAGGATCTTAGCCTTTAGACAAACACATCTACAAATTAACTGGCCTTCAAAGACCTCCTATAACCTCCTAACTCAGTGAGCATCTATTTTATTTGCTTACCATATTTTAGAAGGCTCCCTTAAATTCTTCAGCTAATTTCTTGCAACCCGACCACAATCTCAATATTAGATGGTGTACATAGCGATCATGGGATTGTACCTCATAGATTTATAAGTGAGAATGCAACTTTACCCATCCATCATCTCAACATTTGATGGTGTACATAGCAGTCATGGGATTGTACCTCATAGATTTATAAGTGAGAATGCGACTTTACCCATCCATTATCTCAATATTAGATGGTGTACATAGCGGTCATGGGATTGTACCTCATAGATTTATAAGTGGGAATGCGACTTTACCCATCCATTATCTCAACATTTGATGGTGTACATATTGGTCATAGGATTGTACCTCATAGATTTATAAGTGAGAATGCGACTTTACTCATCCATCATCTCAACATTTGATGGTGTACATAGCGGTCATGGGATTGCACCTCATAGATTTATAAGTGAGAATGCGACTTTACCCATCCATTATCTCAACATTTGATGGTGTACATAGCGGTCATGGGATTGTACCTCATAGATTTATAAATGAGAATGCGACTTTACTCATCCATCATCTCAACATTTGATGGTGTACATAGCGGTCATGGGATTGTACCTCATAGATTTATAAGTGAGAATGCGACTTTACCCATCCATCATCTCAACATTTGATGGTGTACATAGCGGTCATGGGATTGTACCTCATAGATTTATAAGTGAGAATGCGACTTTACCCATCCATCATCTCAACATTTGATGGTGTACATAGCGGTCATGGGATTGTACCTCATAGATTTATAAGTGAGAATGCGACTTTACCCATCCATTATCTCAACATTTGATGGTGTACATAGCAGTCATGGGATTGTACCTCATAGATTTATAAGTGAGAATGCGACTTTACCCATCCATCATCTCAACATTTGATGGTGTACATTTGAACAGGAAATAGTAACTTACAGATCTTCAAAGTTGGAATGCAATTTTACTCTATTTACCTGTTATACAAATTAGCTGGATCTAGCCTCATTTCACCAACACCGTATACAGACCATAGTCTCAAATTCCTTGATGCACTTCCAGTTACTAAACGACTACTTCCAAACTTACAACACACGGTTGCTGAAAGAAAAATTATTAAATAATATAATAACGATTAATAATCTTAATAATGCAGACATCTCTAGCAAGTTAATCATGTAACAAAGTACAATTACGAATATTTTTAAGGTTTGTATTATCTTTTTTTGTAGCATAAACCATTTATTAAACTAAAGCAGTTGACAGTATTTTTTGTGAAAGGTGACAGTTTGAACGTCAGTATTGTCTCTATTGACTTTTTTAATGTTTAAAAATTACAGAGTGTATTTAAGTGTGAATGATACAAATAAGTACATATAGTCACAGACATCATATTCCATGTTTGGGGCTATGTGAATGGAATGTGCATCCTCATCATAATGCCATTTTAGCAAGTTAGTGCCCCATACCCCATCTTTAACTAGATCCAGTCTAAGACCAGTATACATGTATGTGGACCGCCTAAAGTCACATCTGTTACTAAACACATGGAAATGAATCCAAGAAATTAATTGATTTAGTAAACAAAACCACAAGTTATTTATCAGGGTACCACAAGAAAAACTAAAGGTCTACTGTTGTTTATTCATTGTTAATTGGATTAGTTGTGATAAAGAGGAAATGTCTATTCAACTTCAAAACTGAAGCAAATATGTTCATGATCAAATCATTATAAAATCAACCCTGTATCCTCTTACGGGCATGTGCTAAGTAACCTGGCAACCAGGGAAACTAAATCATGTCAATTACAATAATCCAATTACATTCACATTTTCTCTCAACAGCAAATGAAACCTGAATGAACGAGAAGTAACTTACTAATTTCAGCAGTATCGGCATCCCAATGCATAAAGCATGTATTATGTCTTGTATCCCAAGCTGATAAAACACCAGTATTGGTACCCACATACATTACACTATCACCTCCATACACCAAACATGTGAACTCAACATCACCAATAACCTAGTCACAAAAAGAAATTAGTTCCATGATACAACTGCCACAGGTTTACTACATGTACATTTGTAATTGTGTAAAATTAGTAAATATATAAATACGGTTAATATTTATATGTAGTAGATACCAGATAGCAATTCAAAATATGTACTTGTGTAGGTATATCAGCTGAATAGACTAACTGATCAACTAAATGAACATAATTTCTTCCAAATCCCACATCAAAGGGACTTGCGTATTCCATGCTTCATTTAATCTACAAACAAATGACCCAAGACTCACCATCTGCTTTGTACTAAGAAGTTCGTCAGGTACATCAGCTTCATGAACATTAAGACTACATCGCTGCTGTGTCTCATCTAACAACCAGAATAAGACAGTACCTCTAGATCCAACAGATGCAAACTCATTAGATGAGTAAGGATCCCAATACAATTCATGTATTGGTAATGCAGTCTTGGAATTTGCAACAACACTGTAATCTACTGTATTCCACACCACTATGGAACACTCACGGTAATCACCTGCAAGTCAATAAATTCATACCTTGTTAGAACTTGATGGACAACCTCCGGTAGAAATGAAATGTACACAATATAAATCATTATACTTGCCTTTGTACAATGTTTTTGAACAGAAGGAGTCATATTGGATGGAAAATAATGCACACCAATCTTTCACATACTGTAAAACATGTCTTTTAGCTTGCATGTTATTTTATAGCTAATATAGCTAACCCATATTTTGCTAAATTAAAATGTCGCTAATCTAAAATAAAGTATATTTTCACAATGAGATTGATAGCTAAATTAAAACTCATGCATTGAGTCAAATTCACTATAATTGAAGGTGACAAGTTTTACAATATTTAGAAGATGTTCACAATTATGGTAATTACAGTATTGACTCTATTCCATTGCATTTTTTGTTTGATGTAAAATATGACTTATTCAGACCATAGATACACATCTGTCATTAACCTTTCTACCACCAAACTTTCTTACCCACATTTTTCTGCACTTTATTAAATATTCTTAATTATTTCTCAAAATGAACCCTTATTTAGGTGCCAATGGACAAAAATAGACCATTTCCCGTTCACTGCGAGAATCATGCGTTATGCGTGGAATCGAACGTAAAAACAGGACAAACAAAGGTCATAGCGTCGTAGTCGCGTCAAACATCGCGTGGGATTCGACAAACGCAAAAGTATTTCGGGGACATTTCCATGCTTAATAATGTGCTCTCCACATTTGATGATAGGCAATTTCGATTAAGTAAGGGTATTCGGAAGCAATATTCCTCCGTCGAAGATCGGCCGATCGATGTGAGTTACGAAATAAAGAAATTCTAGTTCAAAATCAAATCGTTCGATTTTTGCGGCAGACGTTCGACGCGCGTTTTTCATACATCTCGCGAAAATACGGAAAATCCCCTATTGAGTCAATTTTCAGTTTTACTTTTGGCTGTGCAGAATATAAATGGGATGGGTTTATAATACATTCCATGCAGTGAACACAAATACTAGAACATAACGAATCTTAGTGTGATTACTCTAAACACTAGTTTGTACCAGTACCACACTTACCCACAGATATCAGAAACCTGTCATCTCGTGAGAACGCCAGACAAACAACATCATATTCATGATAAGATAGCACCTTTTTACATAAACCAGCTTGGACATCCCATAAACATATCTGACTGCTGGTCAGTCCTTGAGCACCGGATGCCGATGCCAATACTTGGGCATCATACTGTAATGCTAGGCATGATATCTCTTCTATGTGACCTGTACATAAACATAAATATACAAGCTGAACAATTTTCTTGGACTAATAACAAAGCTGGTCAATCCTTTCTCAGCAATAACTGTTAATTAACCACAGTATGTATGTGTGTAACAGTGACATAGCTACTGCTTTTCAACTGTAATAACACGTAGTACATGGTAAATGACTTTTTCAAAGTATCAGCAGATTTTCTTAAATTAGTTTGGCTGATGTGTAAATGTTATGCACCAGTCATACATAAACATAACTTAAACGGTGTGGACATTGCACCATGCATGAGCGATCGAGATATGGGTCTCATATGAACAAAGATGGCAACTTTGATACACTACTGGAAGGTATCAAAGGAGTCACCTGTGGTAATTAGTGCACGATGTGCCCAGGTCGAAACTTATACTCTTGATTTTCATTAGAAAAGCACATTGGATCATAGGAAATTCAATGTTTATCCACACATATGTGCGTGGCATGATGACCACCACCCTTTAAGATATGTAGCACCTATTCACCTGTAAATGTGTCATGATTGGAAGGGGCTATGAATAATCAAAACATGTGCATTACAATAAAATCTATTTGTATAGAAAAGATCAATGGTGACCTTTTCACCACCATACTTTCTCGCCCAAATTTTTCTTATATTCTTCAATATTTCTGGAAATTAACGCTAATTTTGAAGCCAACAAAATTTGAGTAGACTTTCAGTTTTTACTTAAAAAATTTTGGCAATTTTAGTCCCAATCTTTTGAAGAAAAGAGCAGACTATAAACATGACTATTTTGTGAATTTGTGATGAAAAGAGGAAACTGGTGGTGAAAAGGATAAGTTTCCATCAAATGATAACTTTTATTCACAGGAGTAGGAAAGGTTGTTGAAGGTTCAATGAGATTCTATTTGTTGTGCGCTTGTTTTAATCATTGACATCCTCCCACAGCAACTGCTGCATATTTTTATTATTTGTTTTAAAAGCTTTCACAGGTCATAAAATAAACATTTCATTTCAAGAAAGATATATGTTACCTGTAAAGTGTCTTTGGGTATTAGCATGTAAATCTTCTATTATAATAATACAGCCACTAGTATATGCAAACAATCCTGTATCAGGGTGCCACACCATGTTGCCACGTCCATTACCATTAAAACCAATAACAGATTTCAACCTCAGACCACTCTGGTTAGGTGGGGCGGTGTATCGTCTCTATAATGGCAATAAGTCATATTATAGATATTATATTGAGTGAATACAGTGTGTACTAAGGAGGTAACTGTCAATCTGTCACACAATGGAGGGTGATACAGCCGCTGTACTGTAGAATGCATATTTTGTAAAAATCTTGCAATAAATTTATTCAGAGCTTGAACTTTGGCATTCAGAACGTACCCACTTTCAAAGCAAAAACACATGTTCCTACAAATGTTTTTCAAAATAAATATATTCTAGGGGTACCATGGCAGTCTGATGAGGCACATAAAAAAAATGGTCATAGCCACTGTGAATTTCAAGATTGCTTATAATCATACACTTACTATATTTGAGTATGTTTTCGAGCTTATAGAGTTATTAAAACGAGGAATTCGTTATCTTATCTTTACAAATAAGTGTCTACCCATGAGCTTTTGCATTTTAGTGCATGTTTTTTCGCTTAGGTATCAATTTTCATGAGTGTCCAAGATTACGACGTCTACGTTTTAAGTACATGTAATTCCTACACAAAGCAATGTGTCATAAATGAAGCAGTTGCATAACATATTTATTAACATGCAGTCATAGGTAAAATAATATAAAACAAATATATACTGAATGATTTCATGTGTTTACCTGTGCCATTTGAGACTGTGTTTCACGTTGTCTGAAATGTTTCAAAACTGTTGGTTTGGGTACAGCATGTGGTCTACCAGGCGATTCTGCTGAGGGTGCCATCACTTTTTCTGGTGATCTTAGTTTTCTGTGTTGTTTTACTCTGGAACTGGAACCAAGTGTCTCGATGGGTTGGTTTGGTTCTGGCTCAATCTGGATATCAATTAAAAATGTTTATCAATAAGAGCATTTAGTGTTCTATATATGTTGGATACAGAGGCAGCAATTATTAATGGCAGATTACCATTCCAAATGACAGTTTTAAGATAATAATTTGTACACAAAGTGATACACTAGGCACATGTGTAACCATAGCAACACTTCTGAGATGTTATTTTCCAAAAATGTTCATGAATCACAGAATACACCCATGATTTAAATAGGTAACAAGTAAGGAATATCAGAAGACATTAATAGACGCTAGTCGTCGAGCCACGCATGACCGAGATATATGGGTCTCTTATAAACAAAGATGACTTTGACTGTTGCACACTTCAACGAGTACAAACTTAGACGTTTCCAAGCTTTAATTAGATATTTTTCAGGTGATTGGAAGGTATAGCGAAGGAGTCACCAGCGGTAATTAATGCAAGTTGCACCCAGGTCAAACCTCATACTTTTGATTTCCATTTGAAGAGCGCATTGGATTGTGGAAAATCAATGTTTATCAACACAAATGTTACACATGCGCAATGCGGCAACCACCGTCCTTTAAATCAGTATACTTACATCACTGGCATTTGTTGATACTTCATCATCACTTCTCTCATCCAACTCTGGTCCAATCAACACTTCATCTTGTAAATCATCTATTAAAAAAACATTGTTATATCGTTTT